GCTGCACACAGTCCTGCCTGAGCCCATGTCATAAAACATGATGTTCTACAGAGACATCAAACCAATCGTCACAGGAACTTTATCCAACTCCAGGGTGCCTGCCTGCTTCCATGGGGCTGCACCAACTCTCAGCTAAAGGCCCAATGGCTCCAGCAGGCTAGGGTGGCTCTGGTTGAGCACTGACCTATGAACCAGGAGGTCATGGTTCGACTCCCAGTGAGGGTGCATGCCCGGGTCGTGGGCTCTGTCCCTAGCTTAGGGTGTGCAGGAGGCAACCAATCAATGATTCTCTATCATCACTGATGTTTCTATCTCTCTCTCCTTCTTCCTTCCTCTCTGAAATTTAATAAAAAAAATATATATATATTTTTTTTAGTGGAAAAATAAAAACCCAATGGCTCCAGGGGCTGAGCAGAGTAGGTCTGTGCTAACAAATGCAAGATGTGGCCTCCATCCTCAGGGCAAGTCACCCTGCAGTCTGGTCAGAAGTTTCTCCCTGGCTCACCTGGGCAGTGGTGTTGATGTCCTTCCGACGGAAGACACCGTAGCTGAGGGCGGTGGCAGTGTTGTCATTGATGAGCTGCAGCACTTTGAGGCCAGCCATGCGAGCAGCTTGCAGCACAGCTCGGCGCTCGGCCTGATTGAAGAAGGCTGGCACGGTGACCACTGCATCCTTGATGGGCTGCTCTACAGAGGGCAACAGAGCAAGGTTCCCACCAGCTCCGTCCCTTAGGCGAGGGTTGTCCAGTCTTGGAACGATTGACATGTTGGACCGGACGGATAATTCTTTGTGGTGGGGGCTGTCTTGTGCATTGTAGGGTGTTTGGTGGGATCCCTGGCCTCTAATCACTCCCTGCCAGTGGCAGCTCCCCAGCTGGGTAACCAAAAATGTCTTCAGACAGAGCCAAATGGCCCTGGGAGACAAAACGGCCCCCATCTGAGACCCTAGGGAACCTGGCCCCCATTGGCCTCATCCTGGCTGCTCACCTGCAAAGTCTTCAGCCAGGGAACGGGAGTAATTGAGAACCATGCCCAGCACCTCCTCAGGTGAGAACTGCAGCTGCCTGGGGGGAGGGAGGGATGGAGGGGGTTAGAGGCGAGGACAGCCAGGCAGGACGGGAAGGCCGCTTCTCCAGCAGGAACTCACGGGCTGATCTGGAAGCGCACAGTCTGCCTCTGCGGGTCGAAGCCCAGCTCATGCTCTGGGAACAGCTCTCTGTAAAGGGCCACATGGGGGTTATCCTCCTTCTTCCCCAGGAGCTGCTGGAAGTAACGCAGCGTAGCCTTTGGATTCTTGATGGCCTGAGAGGAAGTAAAAAGGAGCAGAGCATTAGGCTCCAAGCCCGCCATCACCTCCCTCTGACATCAGAGTTGATAAGGGAATGGCCTTGGTCTGTCACCTCCTCCCCTCTGCTCACCACCTCTGGGAAGGGAGTGGGCTGCCAGCTCACCATGCTTGCTGCACTGTCTCCAAAGAATCTTTCATTTTCCTTCAGGGTCACAGTCACTGGGGTTTTCCTCCGGGATTCTCTGAGGAACAGACATTGGGCCCAGGTTCCCTTAGCAGGGTGTGGCCACAGGAGCCGCAACAATACACACTCACTCACTCACCTAAGTCTGCTGTGGGCACTTCGAAGAACACAGCAGCTTAGAGCCCACAGTCCCCCGCCCCGCCCCCAGGCACTGGGGCTGCCCTCACTTGTTCAGGACAATTTCCATGGGAACTCCAGGTTTGACGATGGCCACCTTCATGGACTCGCTGCCCAGGTCCACTGACATCACTGCCAGCATGTCTGAAGGGGAAATCCATTTGTCAGGTAGTCCCTCTTCCCCTCCCTTCCTGAGGCGCCTCTCATCAAAGCGCACACTTTTCCAAGGAGAAGGTGAGATAGTAAAAGACATAAAGGAAAGGCCTGGGTCCTCGTCGGCCCTTCCCACCATGCTCATTCACCCTTCACTCATCTATTCCTCCTTCCACCCCGCTGCCGGGTACACACCGCTCAGTGCCAACAGGTCCGCCAAGAGCAGAGCCATCAAGGCCCAACCAGCTCGCCTCTGCGTCCTGCCCATGGCTGCCATTCTGCCCCTGGGGAGGAGAAAAACAACCCTTGTAACTGGATGCCCTGAGCGAAGGAGACAGAACCTCATCCCCAAACAGAGACACTTTAGGTTCATACCTACTCCATTCGCACCCGGGGCAGGGCAGCCTGCATGCCCTCCTCTCCCCGCTGATGAGGACTAAGCCTCCCATCACGCCCGGAAGGGCCCAAAGCCCCAGGTGAACCAGCAAGGACAGGACACGGGGCCCAGACACTCCCTACTGCACAGGCAGCAGCGGCGGCCCCGCTGCACGGGTCCTGCCGTCTGACACCTGGGCTGTGGCCAGAGGTCCCCGC